GTGCAGGCTATCATGCCTCACAATATTGTGTAGTATCTTTCATGTCTGCCATCTTCTGCATCTTCCCCCTTTATGATACCAGGTGTCACAAGTGTTTCATCTCCGGTCACTATGGCAGATAAGCGGGTTGAGTGTTTGTTTTTAGTCGTTCCAAGTTTGAACTTTTGAGAAAAGTTAGCAGTTGTATTTTCCTCAATACGTAGACTGAAAGGAATTAGTTCCATTGTCCAGTTACTGAGTAGGGCGCATGGCGCGAAACTGTGAGATGCGAATTTTATTTGGGATGATTTTTAGCTGTGCCCAGCGTGGATTGTGTTTTGAATTGCAAAATCGGATAATGGTGAGTGGCCAGAGCACTTGTGGGGGCCTTATGTTGCATGTGCAACTACTGATCTGTTGTAACTGCTGCTGCCATAAAAAATGAACTGTGACTGGTGTCAGACTGTGCTGGCACTTCTGACGCCTGCCTTTTTCATTAAATGTGTCAATTTTTTCGACATGGACAATGATGGACATTGTGTGTGGTTTTCGTTAGCACAGGAGTGGAGTAACTATAGTGTGATTGGTTTGCTATGAAGGATTGGGCGATGATCTGATTACAAGTGTTCAATTCAGTGGTTTTGAGGTATGGTGTTCGCTTTGAGTGCTGGCTGTCCCAGGTTCAGACCCCAGTAAAGGCTAGTTTTTTTTTATTTTTTTAAAGTAGGCTTCTAGTAATTTTCCCTTGGTCTCTGGGTAGTGAGATCGGACTCCCTTGTGTATTTCTGCACACATAAAAAAAATCCCTTTGCGGTTTTAAATCGAAAAGAGTAGTCTAACGGCGCTGCCCATGCAAAATTTTGAGTTCAGGATCCTTGCCGGGGCTATATGAGTTCATGCACTGTGCTGAGATTCTTTGGACTCTGGCTTGAGTTAGAAGTAGAACGGAGCACTTTTGGGCTGCTACCCTTGTGCCATAATGTTGATTCGTTGTTCAAACCTTCAATAAGTGTTCCATTAATTATCATGGCAGATCCGAGAAATTACGATCAATTACTTCTAATTTCAGTTACACGTCTGACTTTTATGGTCTTTATTTGTTGCTCTGAAAATCCATCTGCACCTCATCTTCTTCTTTATTCCTTTTCTGCCTTTCACTGTCAGGTTTTGAAGAGGCATCGGGTGCGAGCCTTGGTATGTACTACCTAGATGCTGGTATTTACAGCTTTAGATATTCCATTGATCCATCGGTTGTGTGGTCGACCTCCAGGTCTTCTTCCATGATGTCTAAGTGACAGGAATCCATCTTCACTGCTCAGTTTGCATGTCTGAAGCCTATTTTTAAGAAATCTGTCAACAGCATCTTTAGATGCCTTTTTTAAAGGGGGAAAAAGACATTTTTTTGCAGAAACTATAAAACTAAATTTTTTCAGTTCAGCAAAATTTAAGAACTTTAATTACACTGAGTAAGAAAACTGGATTCGAATCCATCTAACAAGCCATTTTGCTGTTACAGCAGCATTCTCCTGTCAAATCCCCCCCCCCCCCCCCCCAACAGCTAGGAGGATGTGTAACGTATAACCTACGGCCTATAAACAGAAAACAGATTGTGCGACCTTTAAAACCCCTAAATAGATTCATAACCACAAGGTTAGCAATGGCTTTTAAAAAAACCGGCATCCAAAATTTGAAGAGAGAGACTGAGCCTGTTTACTCTCAGCCCACCATGAAACACAAAAGTCACAACCATCATCATCATCATCCTGTTGAAGCATCATACATCAGACAAAGAGCCAGTCTTCCTCCATTCTGCTGTATCCTATTGGACCCTCTCCATCTTGTAGATAGAATCCAGTCCAGCATCTTTGGCCTCTCTCAGCAACTTCTGTCTCAGGGTTTCTCTTGGACCTCCCTGCTTCCTCAATCCATCTGTTTACCATTTCAGTACCTTTTTGGTGATTCTGTTTCTCCTCACCATGGGTACAATCAAACTTTCTCCTGTAATCTAATCCAGGCTGTAATCTAATCCAGGTTGTAATCTACTCCAGGTTGTAATCTAATCCAGGCTGTAATTTAATCCATGTTGTTTCCATATTTCTGCGGACAGAAAGCTCTCGCAAGAGACCTAAGACAACTCCTAGTCGCCATCTGTAGGCAGACTATCATCAAGTGTAGCAGTAAAATACTGAAGCAAACATCCAGAGAAAAATCAAACTGTTTTACCCAACAGCTGGGCACATCAGATGCTGAAGTCATAAAACACGAACTGAAAATGATAACATAAGTAAAACACACATATTAATGACAAAATGATACATACGTATGAATGATAAACTAAAATTAATGTATCACTGACGAGCTAAAAGTCATGAATCAATGACGAACTACCTCTCATGCATCAATGAAGGACTAACATACATGCATGAATGATGGCATAAAGTTCATGAATGATGAACTAAAATTCATGAATCAATTAGGAACTAATGCAGATGCCTCAATGAAAAACTAACACAGATGCATCTTTGATGAACCAAACTCAAACATGAACACACGAGTTGAACATTGACTTCATATATACATATCTACATATCTCTGGAGGAAGTGCACTGGGTGACTAACACTACACAATTTCTGCTGAGTTCAATAATCAAACACTGCATTCTGTGTAGTTAAGAAATGTACATGAACATGCGGAAGGCTAGGGAAAACACCCACATGAATGTCCTCAGAAGGAATTTATAGGCAGTGGAAAGATGAGACTGAAGGAGGGAGATTCAAGTCAGGCTTCAGCCTTTAGACTGAACTGACCAACAGATAACCTGATGAAGAAAGCCACTTGGGTGAGTCGAGGAAGTAGAGTCCATCAGAGAATCGCTAGACTGTGTAATTCATTGTAGATATTACAGCTGAACATGATGGCTGTGTGGGGTGACTTTACCCTCTGGTTAGGTCTCCCCTCTTCTACCTTATACAGGTGGCTGTGTGGGGTGACTTTACCCTCTGGTTAGGTCTCCCCTCTTCTACCTTATACAGGTGGCTGTGTGGGGTGACTTTACCCTCTGGTTAGGTCTCCCCTCTTCTACCATAATGACTTTACCCTCTGGTTAGGTCTCCCTCTTCTACCTTATACAGGTGGCTGTGTGGGGTGACTTTACCCTCTGGTTAGGTCTCCCCTCTTCTACCTTATACAGGTGGCTGTGTGGGGTGACTTTACCCTCTGGTTAGGTCTCCCCTCTTCTACCTTATACAGGTGGCTGTGTGGGGTGACTTTACCCTCTGGTTAGGTCTCCCCTCTTCTACCTTATACAGGTGGCTGCACAAATGAGCATCCCTTGGAGGATCATTTGAGGCTAAATTACGCAGGGAACTGTCAGGCACTTGGGCCATAATTCGGTACCGGGGACAGTCAGGTACTGGATCCATGCTCGTGCACTCGGTTCACAGTCAGGTACTGGACCCATGCTCGGACACTCAGTTCACAGTCAGGTACTGGACCCATGCTCAGACACTCAGTTCACAGTCAGGTACTGGACCCATGCTCAGACACTCAGTTCACAGTCAGGTACTGGACCCATGCTCAGACACTCAGTTCACAGTCAGGTACTGGACCCATGCTCGGACACTCAGTTCACAGTCAGGTACTGGACCCATGCTCAGACACTCAGTTCACAGTCAGGTACTGGACCCATAATTGGACACTACTGGGTTCACAGTCAGGTAGTGGACCCATGCTCGGATACTTGGGTCACAGTCAGTTACTGGACCGATGCACAGACACTGGGTTCACAGTCAGGTACTGGACCCATGCTTGGACACTACTGGGTTCACAGTCAGGTACTGGACCGATGCACAGACAGGGGGTTCACAGTCAGGTACTAGACCCAGCCATACTTAGGCACTGGGTTTAGTTAGGTACTGGGTTTACAGTCATGCACTAAACCCAGCCACATTCAGGCACTGGGTTCACAGTCATTTACTAGTCCCAGCCATACTCAGGCATTGGGTTCACAGTCATGAACCAGACTCAGAACATAAACTGTCTGTGCCATCTCCCCACTGAAAACTGATGCCCTCGGGAATATTGTGTGGTGAGGCTCTAGTTTTTTCCATGGGACAATTCTCGTGCCAGTGTCTGGAAACCACAAAAACAGGTTTTAAAAAAAAATGTATGTGGTGAAAACTGCACCGTAGTACTTGAGGGTCGGGAAATTGTTACATTCATTCACCATTTTCTGAGCCTGGGTCCACCCCCAACCTTGTAGTACAAGCAGAAGAGAACCAGGCCAAACAAGCAGTCCAAACAAGCAGGCCAAACAAGCAGTCCAAACAAGCAGTCCAAACATGCAGGCCAAACAAGCAGTCCAAACAAGCAGGCCAAACAAGCAGGCCAAACAAGCAGGCCAAACAAGCAGTCCAAACAAGCAAAAAAATGCAGTCCAAAAAGCAGTCCAAACGTAGTCCAAACAAGCAGTCCAAACAGGCCAAACAATTGTTCCAAACAAGCAGTCCAAACAAGCAGGCCAAACAAGCAGTCCAAACAAGCAGGCCAAACAAGCAGTCCAAACAAGCAGGCCAAACAAGCAGTCCAAACAAGCAGGCCAAACAAGGAGTCCAAACAAGCAGTCCAAACAAGAAGTCCAAACAAGCAGGCCAAACATGCAGTCCAAACATGACAGCACAGAGCCCTACTCAATACAGTCCACATAAAGATTCCAACAAAGAACTTGTGTATTTAACTAAGAAGAGAGACGCTGGAAACTTGTACTTTCACATTGAATGTAGCTACTACTTTAAACAGAAGCAAGTCTAACAACAGCAAAATCTGCACAGTTCTACTTAAGTACAACAGTCAAACTCAATGTTCCATTTCGCTTGGTGTCCAGGGCTCACCCAACTAGCCTCTGGACTTCCATTGATCTATCGGAGACCACCTTCACCTCTAACCACCGGAGCCAGACTGTATTTAGTGACAACAGCAGCAGCCAACACATCTCAACACCTTGTCAAACAATGGAAACGTTCTATGTCTTGCACTGGGCCCACTTGGGCAGAATGCGACGCCGAGCATTGGTGAACCAGTAGTTGATCTGGTTGATAGACAGGCCTGTCTGTTTGATCAGCATCGCCTTCTCGTCGTCGTTGGGGTAGGGGTTGTCCTTGTGGTTGCGAAGCCACTCCATCATCATAGCCACCGCCTGCAAGGGAATACAAACAGGTTTCAGACGACACTATCCCAACCACAGTCAAGTTACTAATTAACTACACAAAAAACAGATTCATGATGATTCCGCCCAAGTTATGTGATTACCTTTCGAGAATGGAGGTAGAGGCAGTCACAGCAGACTCCGCTGGATAGATTTGATTTGATTCAAGAACCGACATCACAGCACTTGGGGCATTCCCATAAGCCTCCGTCCCCATCTTCAGCAGCCAGCGAAGAGTTCCATTACTAATGGTGCCAGTAACATTCTGATTAAACGTCCGTCTTGTCTTTCCTCTGAGCTTCGAGCATCTGCCAGAACCTCTCGTCACTCCCCCTGCATCAATCTCACCAGACTGTGGTGATCCATCTGCTTCTCTCGAATTGTACCCGCTCTCCCACAAGGCACTAACCACGTCTGCCTTATAATGTAGCAGTATTCCACCAACTTGTGCAGAGCCAGCCAGTCTGTCAGCGTGTTCATTTCCCAACACACCTGTGTTCCCCGGTGAAAAAATCCAGACAATACTCCTCACCTGTGTCCTCCGCAGCGAAGCATGCCACTGTGCACGAAGCATACCTGTTCTGATCTTCCTCAGCATGCTTTCTGAATCAGTTACAATCATGATGTGTGTGTGTGTGTCATGTTCTCTAGCCTGCGGAAAGCTGCAGTGACCGCCTCCACCTCGATTCTTAAGCTGGATGTTGTGGTATCATATGCTAGGCTCTCCTGCACCAAACATCGACCATTAACTTTTGCCAAGAAGCCCCAAGCACTTCTTTTGCCTCTTGACACTGAACCATCTGTGTAAATGATCAAATCCTCTGAGCGAGCATTATCTTGAATTGCTGAATTTCCACCTCTGTGGCACCTGCTGGCCAGTCTCTGCATTCCCGGCTCAGCTTGATGATGACTCTACACAAGTCTGACTGTTAAGTAGCTGGCAACCCCATTTGAGATTATATAAGAGACTATCAACTTATGTAACAAAGCCATGAAACAGTGACCCAAAAAACTCCAGGGCAGCACAGTTATATAAGTGATTACCTCTTTGGGCAAGCTAGGATGTTTCTTGGACTCGGTCTTGTTGGTCTGTGGACTGGCAACCCCCAGGGCAGCCTCCCCGTAGACGTCAGGCCCATCTTTCATAGATCTGTACACATGGCTCATCCCATGCTGGATGTAACCTCCCTGGAGGATTGAACCAAAGAAATAAAACATGAACAATGGATATGTTATGTTATGTAATGTTTGTTTCAGCTTCATAGCAAACAGGTCATCCCATAGTTGCGCTGCTCCTGTGCCAACCAAAAACACACAGAATGTTTATCACAGTCCCTTGTGGAAAGATTGACAGACTGCTGTCTCAGCATATGCACTAGCATACACACGCATAAAAAAAGCATACGGTAGCCATCAGAAGTGCTAACACAGACAGTCCCACATTAGAAATGCAGTTCATCATCGACGGTAGCAGAGGTAACCAACAAATCAGCAGTTGCACATGCGATGGGATATGTGTGTGTGTGTGTGTGTGTGAGAGAAAGAGAGAGAGAGAAATGACAGAGAGACAGACAGACAGACAGAGGCAGAAAGGGATACGTGAGACAAAGGTAGGGACATAGATGACGTAGGAGAGAGGGGCAGGAACAGGGGTGAAAGAGAGAGACAGGGAGAAAAGACAGGAATGATGGAAAAGAAACAGGGAAGAGGAGAAAAGGAAGAGACAGGAGTAGGAAGGAGAGAGAAGAATGTACATGCACATAATTTCAAAATGCCATTTTTATTTTCAAACTAGCCCATTGCTAGAATATAAAAAACTTACCACCTCAAACTAAATCACAGTGATTATCACCGTACTCTAAAATACTAACTTCAATCTCATTACACCAACCCACACAACTCCATGGCAGACTCTAAAACAGGGCCATTCAAATGGCGGTCTGGCCCAAAGAGGCGGAGCCAAGTGGCTGACAAATTATTGCCAAATGTAATGTGTGAATGATTCTTTCTCTACCGGGAGCTTCGTGCTCTGGCTTGGGACACTCCCCATGTTCATCATCGTGGCTAAACTTGGCTGAAAAGATCTAAAACTGTACATCTTAGTGGTAAAATATCCATTTTTGTCAGGTAGCATGGACGTCACTGCATACGTCAATGTCTCTCTGAATATATTTACCACTTTTAGGGCAGAGAGAGAGGGAGACAGACAGAGAGAGAGAGAGAAGAGGAGAGAGAGCGGGAGGGAGAGAGAGAGGGGCAGACAGACAGAGACAGAGGGAGATAGACACAGAGAGGGAGGGAGAGAGAGGGAGGGAGACAGACATAGAGAGGGGCAGAGAGAGAGGGAGGGAGACAGACATAGAGAGAGGGGCAGACAGAGAGAGAGGGAGACAGAGAGAGAGAGAGAGAGAGAGATAAACAGAGAGGGAGAGACAGAGAGAGAGAAGAGAGAGAGAGAGAAAGAGTTGTGTATCTGTGTGAGGTACATGGCTAGTGCAGTCACCAGGAACTGTGCAAGTTAGGATTGATAATTTAGCCATAAAGAGAAAAAAATCTCCATCATTTACCGAGGAGTGAACATGGATCTCCCACAGGAGAGGCCAGTGCTCTAGCCAACTGGCCAGTGCACCTCACCCATCACTATACATATGATGTTTGTGTTTACCAGCTGTAAACCACCTGTGCGGAAAGTCCAGGTTGTTCATCCAGTTCTGAACTTTGGTTTTTTCCCCAGGACTTTAGTTTATTTGTATGCAGACTACTGGTTCCTTAACTCAGACGCACTCTCACTTTGAAGGAATCATCCCTAATTAGTAGCTATTCACCACATACTTTGGGGGGTGTAGGAAGAGTTCTATTTTCACACACCCACCCACACACATGAGAGCCCGGAACGCACACAGTGATACCTACAATACAAATGCTGACTCTAATCCCTGGGTCCATCACTAGATATGATACACCTGTTGGCACTCACCTCGTGATATCCAGCCATCGGATGAGTTAAACCCATTGCACCATTAGGTCCTGACCTGCCCTGCTGGAAACAAGTTTATAGGGTCAATATCCTGCAAGGTTCACGCCATAACAGTAACAACAGTAACAATAACAACAGTAACAACAACAATAACAGTAACAATAACAACAACAAAACAATAACAACAATATGATCAATAACAACAACAGTAACAATAACAACAATATAACAATAACAACAACAGTAACAGCAGTAACAATAACAACAGTAACAATAACAACAATATAACAATAACAACAACAGTAACAATAAAAACAACAGTATCACTAACAACAACAGTGACAATAACAACAACAGTAAATATAACAATGTCATTGCAAAGCTAAAGTTGAGAGCCAGCATCTGTGGCGTAGGCGTTGCAATGCCAGGTTCCATCCCAGCTGTGGAGTTTGTCTAGTGGTGGTTTCAACAGTGGTACCGTGAGCTGGCCGTTCGGAAAGCAATGCCAGGTTCAATCCCAGCTGTGGAGTTTGTCTAGTGGTGGTTTCAACAGTGGTACCATGAGCTGGCCGTTCGGAAAGCAATGCCAGGTTCAATCCCAGCTGCGGAGTTTGTCTAGTGGTGGTTTCAACAGTGGTACCGTGAGCTGACCGTTCAGAAAGCAATGCCAGGTTCAATCCCAGCTGCGGAGTTTGTCTAGTGGTGGTTTCAACAGTGGTACCGTGAGCTGGCCGTTCGGAAAGCAATGGCAAACTACTAGATGTAAAATATGCCTAGAAAAATCACACAACAGCAACCCCCAAAAAAATGCTGGGATTGGTCTGCAATGTCCTGTGAGGGGTACACAACTAACTAACTCCAGTTGAGAGGATCGACTTTATTGCATTGCATTATCCAAAATAGCTTGGTCTCGCTCTGCAGACCAAGCTAGCCACCAGCCGAGGGTGTAGTACAAAGAAGGAACAAGAAATGATTTGTAAAAGAACTGAATTTTTTAAAATGAACAGGTGACCTTCGGAACATGAGGCAAACAGCTTGAGAACTCCACCACAGAGAATCCCCCCATTGTAAAATTAGGACACATATTTTAGGCTAAGTCACACACAAGAGATTTCCTGTAGCAACTATAAGATCTCTGACAACCATAGGATCTCCAACTATCAAGGGGTCTGCAACAATCAAGAAATCTGTAACTACCATCAGATCTTTAAAAAAAAAAAGTGCCTCTGGTTGGAGCATAATAAAAGGACTCTTTTCCACGAATTTAGGCATATAGGGCTAGACCTACATTTTATAGACCAATCAGCACAAGACGGGTGATGTGGTAAGAAACACGTCGGCCGCCTTTACTTCCCCGGACTGCACCCAGTACCCACTCAAGGCTGGGTTGACCTGGGAGCCAAGGTCATTTTTAAATAAAGTCCGGCTCCACCAGGGAGCGGACCCACGACTTTCCGATCCGTGAAAGTGTCTAGCCGCTTCGCCTCAGTGACTCCCTCAAAATAATGTAGCAGGAAAAGATCACTGGCACATGACTGGATGGTCCCATTTCTGACAGAGATCTTCCATCAATCCAAGAAAGTACTGTACCATTTCTGACAGAGATCTTCCATCAATCCAAGAAAGTACTGTACCATTTCTGACAGAGATCTTCCATCAATCCAAGAAAGTACTGTACCATTCGCCCAGTGACCTAACTATACATTAATTTCTGACAGAGATCTTCCATCAATCCAAGAAAGTACTGTACCATTCGCCCAGTGACCAAACTATACATTCATTTCTGACAGAGATCTTCCATCAATCCAAGAAAGTACTGTACCATTTCTGACAGAGATCTTCCATCAATCCAAGAAAGTACTGTACCATTTCTGACAGAGATCTTCCATCAATCCAAGAAAGTACTGTACCATTCACCCAGTGACCAAACTATACATTCATTTCTGACAGAGATCTTCCATCAATCCAAGAAAGTACTGTACCATTTCTGACAGAGATCTTCCATCAATCCAAGAAAGTACTGTACCATTCGCCCAGTGACCAAACTATACATTCATTTCTGACAGAGATCTTCCATCAATCCAAGAAAGTACTGTACCATTCGCCCAGTGACCAAACTATACATTCATTTCTGACAGAGATCTTCCATCAATCCAAGAAAGTACTGTACCGTTAGCCCAGTGACCAAACTATACATTCATTTCTGACAGAGATCTTCCATCAATCCAAGAAAGTACTGTACCGTTCGCCCAGTGACCAAACTATACATTCATTTCTGACAGAGATCTTCCATCAATCCAAGAAAGTACTGTACCGTTCGCCCAGTGACCAAACTATACATTCATTTCTGACAGAGATCTTCCATCAATCCAAGAAAGTACTGTACCGTTCGCCCAGTGACCAAACTATACATTCATTTCTGACAGAGATCTTCCATCAATCCAAGAAAGTACTGTACCGTTCGCCCAGTGACCAAACTATACATTCATTTCTGACAGAGATCTTCCATCAATCCAAGAAGTACTGTACCGTTCGCCCAGTGACCAAACTATACATTTCATTTCTGACAGAGATCTTCCATCAATCCAAGAAAGTACTGTACCATTCGCCCAGTGACCAAACTATACATTCATTTCTGACAGAGATCTTCCATCAATCCAAGAAAGTACTGTACCGTTCGCCCAGTGACCAAACTATACATTCATTTCTGACAGAGATCTTCCATCAATCCAAGAAAGTACTGTACCGTTCGCCCAGTGACCAAACTATACATTCATTTCTGACAGAGATCTTCCATCAATCCAAGAAAGTACTGTACCGTTCGCCCAGTGACCAAACTATACATTCATTTCTGACAGAGATCTTCCATCAATCCAAGAAAGTACTGTACCGTTCGCCCAGTGACCAAAACTATACATTCATTTCTGACAGAGATCTTCCAACAATCCAAGAAAGAAGTACTGTACCTTTCGCCCAGTGACCAAACTATACATTCATTTCTGACAGAGATCTTCCATCAATTCAAGAAAGTAGTGTACCGTTCGCCCAGTGACCAAACTATACATTCATTTCTGACAGAGATCTTCCATCAATCCAAGAAAGTACTGTACCGTTCGCCCAGTGACCAAACTATACATTCATTTCTGACAGAGATCTTCCATCAATCCAAGAAAGTACTGTACCGTTCGCCCAGTGACCAAACTATACATTCATTTCTGACAGAGATCTTCCATCAATCCAAGAAAGTACTGTACCGTTCGCCCAGTGACCAAACTATACATTCATTTCTGACAGAGATCTTCCATCAATCCAAGAAAGTACTGTACCATTCGCCCAGTGGACCAAACTATACATTCATTTCTGACAGAGATCTTCCATCAATCAAGAAAGTACTGTACCGTTCGCCCAGTGACCAAAACTATACATTCATTTCTGACAGAGATCTTCCATCAATCCAAGAAAGTACTGTACCGTTCGCCCAGTGACCAAACTATACATTCATTTCTGACAGAGATCTTCCATCAATCCAAGAAAGTACTGTACCGTTCGCCCAGTGACCAAACTATACATTCATTTCTGACAGAGATCTTCCATCAATCCAAGAAAGTACTGTACCGTTCGCCCAGTGACCAAACTATACATTCATTTCTGACAGAGATCTTCCAACAATCCAAGAAAGAAGTACTGTACCTTTCGCCCAGTGACCAAACTATACATTCATTTCTGACAGAGATCTTCCATCAATTCAAGAAAGTAGTGTACCGTTCGCCCAGTGACCAAACTATACATTCATTTCTGACAGAGATCTTCCATCAATCCAAGAAAGTACTGTACCGTTCGCCCAGTGACCAAACTATACATTCATTTCTGACAGAGATCTTCCATCAATCCAAGAAAGTACTGTACCATTTCTGACAGAGATCTTCCATCAATCCAAGAAAGTACTGTACCATTTCTGACAGAGATCTTCCATCAATCCAAGAAAGTACTGTACCATTCGCCCAGTGACCAAACTATACATTCATTTCTGACAGAGATCTTCCATCAATCCAAGAAAGTACTGTACCGTTCGCCCAGTGACCAAACTATAAATTCATTCATTAACACCCCCCCCCCCCTTTTCTTCTCCCAATATACTATTGGCCAGCTGACGGGTTGGTCAAACTTCTGACTCTTTTACTAACCCAAGAATACACTTACTACTGGCCCAGTGACGGAGTGGCCAAACTTCTGATTCCTTCGCTAACCCAAGAAAACCACTGGCCCAGTGACGGAGTGGCCAAACTTCTGATTCCTTCACTAACCCAAGAAAACCACTGGCCCAGTGACGGAGTGGCCAAACTTCTGATTCCTTCACTAACCCAAGAAAACACTTACCATTGGCCCGGTGACGGAGTGGTCAAACTTCTGACAGAACTCTTCCATTGATCTCAAGGAGGCTGAGGAGTTGGCCTTCATTTTCTCCATCTCTTGTCTGTGTGTGATCTTATCTGCAGAAAACCAAACAAGCATACATGTTTAACTCTTCCAGCCCTGGACATCAACCCTTGTCCTGGTCTTTCAATTAACCCTTTCCCAATATGATAAACGGGAGCTGCTGTAGTGTAGTGGCTAGATACTAGCCTGCAGATCTGAAGTGTGTGGATTCAGGTCCTGACATAGCCAGACATTTTTCAAAATTGACTTGTGGCTCCCAGGTCAACCCGGCCTTAAATGGGTACCAGGTAAAGTACTGGGAAGCAAAGGCAGCCGGCTTAATGATGACCATATCCCCCACCGAGAGCTGATTGGTCTATAAATATCAGAAATGTTTGGACAACTGCTGGTATTAACAGTAGTAAGACAAAGTAGATGGTGAGATCATGGGCTGGTATCAACAGTAGTAAGACAAAGTAGATGGTGAGATCATGGGCTGGTATCAACAGTAGTAAGACAAAGTAGATGGTGAGATCATGGGCTGGTATCAACAGTAGTAAGACAAAGTAGATGGTGAGATCATGGGCTGGTATTAACAGTAGTAAGACAAAGTAGATGGTGAGATCATGGGCTGGTATTAACAGTAGTAAGACAAAGTAGATGGTGAGATCATGGGCTGGTATCAACAGTAGTAAGACAAAGTAGATGGTGAGATCATGGGCTGGTATCAACAGTAGTAAGACAAAGTAGATGGTGAGATCATGGGCTGGTATTAACAGTAGTAAGACAAAGTAGATGGTGAGATCATGGGCTGGTATTAACAGTAGTAAGACAAAGTAGATGGTGAGATCATGGGCTGGTATTAACAGTAGTAAGACAAAGTAGATGGTGAGATCATGGGCTGGTATTAACAGTAGTAAGACAAAGTAGATGGTGAGATCATGGGCTGGTATCAACAGTAGTAAGACAAAGTAGATGGTGAGATCATGGGCTGGTATTAACAGTAGTAAGACAAAGTAGATGGTGAGATCATGGGCTGGTATTAACAGTAGTAAGACAAAGTAGATGGTGAGATCATGGGCTGGTATTAACAGTAGCAAGACAAAGTAGATGGTGAGATCATGGGCTGGTATTAACAGTAGTAAGACAAAGTAGATGGTGAGATCATGGGCACAAAATGAGAAGCAGCAGACAGAAAATCACCAACCTAGACAATAAGAGGACAAATAGATATGAGAATTGAGGACGCAAAAAGCCCAGTGTCTAGTAAGGGAGGTAGGTATTTAATAGAAATAAAGCAAAAGTATTAACTGCTTTTACTCCCTTTGACCTTGAAAACAGAGGTTTAGTTGACACAGCCATGGAAAACTTAGTCATTTTTATTATAAGTCTTATTATGTTTTCATAATGGAGAGGGCGGAATTGATTTCTCACAACCTTAAAAAAAATCTGAAGCAAATCGGGTAAATATAGTTATACCCACCTTGTCTACAGACTATGCAGTGGCAACCAGTACCACAGCTGTTATACAGATGTAGGGGCCACTGCCTAAAGACATCATGCCATCACAAACCCAAGAAAGCCAGAAACTCGGTTTCTCCAGCGTGAAAGATTGAAACTACCCACAACAATGTACCCACAACAATGTACCCACAACAATGTACCATCAACAATATACCCACAACACTGTACCCACAACAATGTACCCACAACAATGTACCCACAACAATGTACCCACAACAGTGCTGTATGCCAGCCTCAAACTCAAACCTCATGTCACCAAAAACCTTGACAGCGGGAAAACCGGCTTTCCCAGGGCAAAAGGTTGAAAACTCACAATTTACTCACCATCAAGATTAAAAAAATATCTTTAAAAAAATTTATGTTAATATAATCATATCCAGCACGTCTACACATTATGTAATAGCAACCAGTACCACAGCTGTTATATAGGTGTAGGGGCCACTGGCCGAGACCTCAGTCATCAAAAACCCATGTAAAGGCTGGAAAACTGGCTTTCCCTGAAAGGTTTAACCTCTGTGCCCCGAGAAGCTGTAAAGCTCGGGTTTAACTACCAACAACAATATACTCGCCCACAAGAATGCTGTTTAGCAGCTTCAAATTCAAAACTCTTGTCACCAAAAACCCTTAAAAGCCAGAAAACCGGCTTTTCCAGGGTCAACGGTTTAAACTACCAACGACAATGTACTCACCCACAAGATTGCTGTGTGCTAGCCTCAAACTGTCCATGATGACGCTCTCGACGGCCTGGTTGCTCTGGTAGTGCCCTGAGGGAGGGTTGCGATGGAGAAAGTTTTGCAGCAGTTTGTGAAAATCATGAGGCAGCAAGCTCAGTAACTGCTGATAGTGGAACCTGGGGTTGTCAAAGTTCATTTCTGCGATCACCAGGTCCCGAAGGAGTGGGAACAGCGGATGGGAGCGGTAGGCGGAGTTGGCCTCGTCCATAATGAGGTGCTGGATAAACTTCTGTTGGGAGGACAACATCTGGGGCCGAACGGACTGGCTGACTTTACAAGCCGTGCAGCCTGGGCCGGCACAAGGCCCCCCATGAGATAGTGCTGTCGCAGGCTGGGGGACCGCACATGGGTGGTTCATTTTACACATATGACAGTTGGGGCTGGGGCAAGGCCCCATGTGGGGGTGCGGGATGGGCTGGCTGCCAGCTTGGTTCATTTTACAAAAGTTACAGGATATACCCATGCATGGGCCGTACTCTGGATGGGGCCCCATGTGTGGTTGAGAGGGCCCCATGTTAGGGTTGACATGTATACCAGAGGGCCCCATATTCATGTCTTGTATGTGAGATCCTGGGCCCATCGGGGCAGCACAGCCAGGGGTAGGGCTAGGCTGCATGTGTGGGAGACCTTGAGAGTGTGCGGGCTGCAGGCCCCCTTTCAAGGGGCTCAAGTTTGGCTGCATGCCTCCAACTTGAACTCGCAGGTCTTCAGGTCCCCAGCCTCTCTGGATGGAAGACGCTTGCTGGCTGCTCATGACACCCTGAGAAGGAGGCATCACTCCATGAGGCTGCTGAGGGGGGTACATATCTGGGCGAGAACTCTGTTCATAGGAGCCTTCAAACACAGGTGAACATATCTGGCCTGGGTACTGTGCTCCAAGTCGCGTGTTCGGACCCGTCCTGCTGGACATGGGTGTGGACACAGCTAGAGGGACGTGGTATCCGCTAGAACTACCATCATGGCTGATCTGCATACTGTTCTGATGAGGTGGGTGGAGCTCCGAGGGCATACCTTGTGTGGAGTAAGAGCAACTAGAAAATGGGTGATTCTGGTCATGATGGTGGTGGTGGTGATGGTGGTGATGCTGCTGCTGCTGCGATGACTGCAGGTGAGGATGTGTCTGGAGAGGAGGCATAGATTCTGCAGATGAAGAGGGATGAGATGACTGCTGAGAATGAGCTGACTGTTGCTGTTGCTGCATAGAAGAAAACTGATTCATTCCGTAGTGAGGTTGTTCTGCCTGCAGGTTGACATAGTCACTAGGCTGTGGCGATATTAAAGGAGGGGGCACCGAAGGGTAGTCATGCATAGAATCCATCCTCAACATATTCTGGTTACCGTCCATGTAGAAGGCACTACTGCTGCTGCCATTGATGTGTCCAGACTTGGCCATGTACTCCTGCATGGGTTCACCCGGGCTGGAGCTATCGCCCGGCAGGCTCATGGCACAGCTGGGCCGGTTATTCATATCATACCCTGAAGGTACAGGCGGCCCAATGACCTGGCCCTGGTTGTTTGGGACGGTGTAGGGAGCCACTCCAGACTTCATGCTGTGGTGGAACCGGGGCATGATCTTTCCAGAGGGCAACATCTTGGGCTGACCATTAGTCTCCATCTCAAAGGCACAGTCTGAGGGGGTGCTGGGGCCTGTGTATGCTGGGGGACTACCGTTTGGCAGGTCAGCGAAATGAACAGACTTCTGCCCTGATGGCCGACTGTTTGAAATACCTAATTAAAAAAACAAAAAACAATGAGTTCTCACAATCATCGTTGATATATATATATATATATATATATATATATATATATATATATATATATATATATATATATATATATATATATATATATATATATATATATATATATATATATATATATGTATATATGTATATATATGTATATATATGTATATATATGTATATATATATATATATATATATATATATATATATATATATATATATATATATATATATATATATATATATATATATATATATATATAAAACATATAATAGAAAGAAAAAAAAAGAAATCAACTTAAAAAGCCCTTATGTGGATTTCGGGACCCGCTGTGCCCCCCCTCCTCCCCCCTCCCCCACAGTCTGTTTCTTTAAAAAAAGAAACAGACCTAGGGTATCAATAACAAGCATGTCATAAAAGTCAAATAATTAGGGTTGCTTCCTTAGAAGTTAGAGTGTATCTGCCTGAGAGGCAAGGAACCAACAGTTTGTACACAAATAAACCTGATCCGTAAAATGGATGTGCATGCAAAATGCAGCTTTTAGAACCATCTTATGTCCAGCTCAGCTATCTTTTGTAACCTCTTGTGGCCCATCTCCTTCCTATTGCTCAGTACATAAACTGGTTTTATATGTCATGCTTGTTTGTTTTTCTTAGTTAGAACACTACGGGACTGAAACCACTGCTCACACAATAACTGCTTCAGAAACTCCCCAGTTTCTGAGATGACCCCCGTGTATCCACCAGACCCACATGTGCTATGATATAAACACCCACTTTTGCTAGTTAGGTCTGCGGCCGGAAATATGCCCATGGTGGCCAATGGTATGCCTATGGTGGCCAATGGTAAGCCTTTGGTGGCCGATGGTATGCCTACGGTGGCCAATGGTATGCCTACGGTGGTCAATGGTATGCCTACGGTGGTCAATGGTATGCCTACGGTGGCCAATGGTATGCCTACGATGGCCAATGGTATGCCTGCGGTGGCCGATGGTATGCCTGCGGTGGCCGATGGTATGCCTACAGTGGCCAATGGTATGCTTTTGGTGGCCGATGGTATGCACATGATGGGGGAAATCTTCAACTGCCAATACCACAATGCATTAGATTCTCTTTTTTTGTTTTCAATCCTTACCTGAGTTGACTCCAGATCCGGTCCACTCTCATGTGAGCATGAAAAGGATAACATTCTATAGAATGCTTTACTGTGTTAAAATCTATAGCTTGATTTGAACACAAGACTTTTTGTGTCAGAGGCAGACATACAAGCTAGTTACAGAGCCACCCCCCCCCCCCCCTCCTTCTGTATTCCACAGGACTGTTAAAATATGGTTTGTATTAACATAACAACTCAACTATATACGTACAAATCAATAAAGAAATGCACACTTATTTTAATAACATTAAAACTTTTATGTTTTATTCACCAAAAAATTATATGTTTATTTGGACCTTTTCATGCTTCCCGGCCCATATACATATTTTCTCAGTCTGATCTAGGTCAAAGGGGTGTCACTTTGTACAGCTTTCTTGAAAGAGTCTCTCGTGTGACCTAGGTTGAGACTATGGGGAAAGGGGAGGGGGGGGGGGGGTTGGTTGGTTAGGGCCAATTCTACATGTTCTGGGGTGGTTGAAAACGGTGTCTTCATGTAGTAAAGAACAAGTGACATCGGTGATGATGTAATTAGTGAGAAGACAACCTGACATCCCTCCGATGTAGAAGAGTCTGAGAAAGTATAAATGATAGGTCAGGTAGTGTGTAGATGAGCTGGGAAATGTGAACCGTTTATTTCTTACAACATATTTCTGTGTGGGGTGTCTGCACACAAAGTGATACATGCTGTTGACGATGACAGATTATGGAGAGGCATGATCGCCCATGCAGTTAGCAAGGCATTTGATGATGATGATGATGATATACTAACACTGACATGACTGGACTGACCTGAAGGTGCTGTCTGCTGCTGCTGCTGCTGTTGTTGGTGGTGGATGAGGGAGGTCTTCTGGCTATGGTCTGCAGGCATGATTGTGGAGATGGATGAAAACGAGGACATGGACGAGGAGGTGAAGGCAGGGGAGGGAGCAGACCCGTTGCTACAGTTACCTGCTGACTCATTTGAGAAGTAACCTTGGTCTAGCGGGGAATCCACAGGTGTGGGAACTGAGGGGTGGTGGGGGTCTGTGGGTCCGGGAATGTGACCCATGTGCCCATGACCCATGCCAGGGTGATGGCGGATTTGCTGGGGTTGGTGATGAGGCTGGAAGGGTCCTCCTGGGTACATCCCCTTGGTGAAGAAAGCTCCTTGAGTGCTGTGATTTACCTGAGTGTGTGGTGGGCCAATCCACCTGTGGAGGCCACAATGTCAAGATCTGAGTGAGTGAGGGACTGTGTGTGTGAATAAATGACTGAATGAACGACAGAGAGAGACAGACTGAAAAAGAGAAAAACAGATATATGTATATATTGAGAGAGAGAGTGAGAGAGAGAGAGAAGCAGAGAGACAGACTGAGAGAGAGAAGCAGAGAGACAGACAGAGAGAGAAGCAGAGAGACAGAGAGAGAGAAGCAGAGAGACAGACTGAGAGAGAGAAGCAGAGAGATAGACTGAGAGACAGACAGAGACACAGACATTAAGTATGACAGAAAAGCAGACATAGACATTGTCAGGCACAGTGCACTGTTTGGCAGGGACAGTAAAAGCTAACCCTGCCACAAGCAGTAACCTATCTAAACAAGAAACCAAGGTGTCCGCAACATGGAGGTGAGGGCCATTAAATCTGGCCACTCCAGCAACAGAGTGTACCTCTCTTGAGAATCGCCTTTTTTTTTTTAAATCTTAGGTACAAAATCAGCCATGGGACTTTACTTTCAACACAGTTTCACCTAGTTTCCATGAGTGACAACCCTTGGCATTTTCGAGTTACTTAGCGGTTGAATTTTCATTCCACTGACAACAATGTGGATCCTATCAGGGATACATCAGTTAAGTGATTTTGTGTATTGGTGTCTGTATATGTGATTAATGTGCTGATGCAGGCTCCGTTGCCATAATGTTCCCTTTCTGTTTGTGACTTATAATGTGAAGCTCACTAGGCTACTTTTAATTTACTTTTGTATCTTTTCATGATTGAAACAAGGAACAGTGGCAGAGGCTGATCAGATTCTAGAACTTACCTCTGATGCTGGGTCAGTGAGTGATGAGGGTGCTGGTGTGGATGCTGCTGGTGAGGGTGCTGCTGCATGGGCTTACCACCAACAGGTGCTGCAGAAACCTGCTTGTTCACTCTTTGGAACATACTTCCGTCCCGACCACCGACCAACCCTCCAGCAAACTGGCCTTGGTTTCCAGCCTGCGATGGTGACCCAGGTTTGTTGAAGTCACAGGATGGTGCACAATGCTTTGGTGAGGTGGATTTAATCTTGTTGTTGTTGTTGTTAGCCGAGGATGTTGTGAGATCTTCCTGGTCGCTACCATCACTAGGATGGCATGATGAAGAAGACATGCTGGTGGCAAACTCCTGTGACCTGGAGAAGCCAGCATGGTTGCTGGCTTGTGAGGATGCATTTGATCCTTGGCTGCTGCTGCTGCTGCTTGAGTTTGTGGACTGCACTGGTGATGAAGTGGGTGCCCCTTGGGGATATGAATGACTCCGCTTAGCCATCAGAGGTCCTTGCTGAGGCATTTTGAACAAGTTGTGGCTATTGGTGCCTGGATGTCCACAGGCACTGTTGTACTGGTTAAACCCTGGGGGTGTTTGCGATCTGCCCTTGTTAGGGCTATTGTCAGTAGAAACAGACAGGTGTACCCTTTTGTTCGCTGGGCTGTTGTTTTCAGAAGACTGCACAGTTGTGGATCCAGACGAAGGAGCCGAGGATGCTAAATGAGTTCCCGCTATCGGAATCTGCTGAAGCCAGTCAGAATCACCAAAGTTTTGTTTGAACAAAAAATTGGGGGTTGTTGTAGTTACAGGAGGGTTCAGTACAGTCAGGGTTTTGTTCTCGTTGTTGTTGTTATTATTGTTGTTGCTGACGTGGCTTCCCGAAGCACTGCCGCTGGTAGAGCTGCCACTGGCACTCCCAGTTGGGGTGGAGACACTGGATCTTGTTGCACTAAAATAAATATTAAACAAAAAAAGATACATAATCTTAATTAAAATAATAATAAATTCTGAAACTGGTCGAAGTCATAACAATAAACTGGATCCCTCTCATTTTGTGTAAACAACAGGAATGTGTGATAAATCTTGAATAACCATGGTAATCTGATGATAATCTGGAATTTGAGGCAGTCACATGTACACTGTACCCTGACAATGCAATTCATGTATTTCACAGAAAAGGACTAATTTTCTGCTTCATTAAATGTTGAGGGAACTAGGTAGTATGTTGAGGGAACTAGGTAGCATGTTGAGGGAACTAGGTAGTATGTTGAGGGAACTAGGTAGTATGTTGAGGGAACTAGGTAGTATGTTGAGGGAACTAGGTAGTATGTTGAGGGAACTAGGTAGTATGTTGAGGGAACTAGGTAGTATGTTGAGGGAACTAGGTAGCAACACATCTGACGAGACGAAGCAAAGTAAACCAGTTTTGTTAGTGCCCGTATTTTGTAAATTTACAAGAGGAAAACATTCATTACAAATATTTTTATGAACACTGCTGTTTTAGGGCTGTACAAAGGATTTAACAAAAAGCACTCCATGCAATTCCACTGATGCTTCCTCTCCCTCAGCATGTTTAGTTCCCTTCTTGCTATCATTTTTCAACAATTAGTTTGATATTCTTCTACACATACCCAACCCAAACACTGAAACATACCAAGGCATGATGGGAGCCCATGACCCATTTTAACATCCTATCTGCTCGTTGCCTTTCCTTATCATCCCACTTTTTCTTATCAATCCATCTTTCTTTTTCAACCCACCTTTTCTTATCAACCCACTTTTTCTTATCAATCCACCTTTTCTTATCAATCCATTGTTTCTCATCAACACACTTTTCCTCATCAACTCACCTTTTCTTATCAACCCACCTTTTCTTATCAACCCACCTTTTCTTATCAATGCATCTTTTCTTATCAACCCACATTTTCTTATTAACCTACCTTTTCTTATCAACCCACCTTTTCTTATCAATTCACCTTTTCTTATCAATCCATTGTTTCTCATCAACACACTTTTCCTCATCAACCCACCTTTTCTTATCAATCCACATTCTCTTATCTTCTCAAAGAAAGTCTATGAAGGTGTGAATCAATGCTCACTACTACAGATGCTCTTTCAGTTCTGCAGCCGCATGAGGTTCTGAGACAGGCCCTATTCATGTGAAATAATCATTACTGGCCAAGAACCCAGTAAGACAGTGACAGCTCACAAACATAAAGACAGCACAAAGGGAGTGGGAACAAACAAAGGTAATGACAGCACACAAAGGTAATAACCGAAAACAAAAGTAATGGTAACAAAACAAAGGTAATGACAGTATATAAAGGTAAAAACAGGAAGCAAAAGTAATGGTAACAAACAAAGATAATGACAGCACACAAAGGTACCAGTAACAAACAAAGATAATGACAGCACACATAGGTAATAAAATAAAACAAGGCAGCACCCATTGAAAGCTCCAGAAGAGATGGCCTCTTGGGTCATGTAAAGTTGTGGGTTGGTGTCCTGCTCCATGAGGTACTCCACAAAGTCCAGCTCCATGCCCTCCTTCATGCCAATATCCTCACAGATTTCATCCAGCAGTTCATTGGGCAGTCGCTGGTCATCCATCGGGCCTGGTGCTGTGGTAGGAGAGGAGGGTGATCGGGGTGAGTTCAGCCGATCTCCATCCAGAACTGACGAGGAAGTGGCAACGCTGCAGGCACTCGGACTGGATGCCGAATCCCTGTACTCCATAAGCTGTGGAACAAAAAGAGTACAACAATGTGATTTGTGGCTTAGTGGTTGATAACGACAGGTATTGAGGTGGGCTCCTGGGAACTAATTGCCGTGGACTGTGTTGTGTGGCGGAGACACATCAGGAAGGGATTCACACCGTGGTGCAAGATTCACACAGTGGTACAAGATTCACACAGTGGTGCAAGATTCACACAGTGGTACAAGATTCACACAGTGGTACAAGATTCACACCGTGGTACAAGATTCACACAGTGGTACAAGATTCACACAGTGGTACAAGATTCACACAGTGGTGCAAGATTCACACAGTGGTACAAGATTCACACAGTGGTACAAGATTCACACAGTGGTGCAAGATTCACACAGTGGTGCAAGATTCACACAGTGGTGCAAGATTCACACAGTGGTACAAGATTCACACAGTGGTGCAAGATTCACACAGTGGTGCAAGATTCACACAGTGGTACAAGATTCACACAGTGGTACAAGATTCACACAGTGGTGCAAAATTCACACAGTGGTGCAAGATTCACACAGTGGTACAAGATTCACACAGTGGTACAAGATTCACACAGTGGTACAAGATTCATACAGTGGTACAAGATTCACACAGTGGTACAAGATTCACACAGTGGTACAAGATTCACACAGTGGTGCAAGATTCACACAGTGGTACAAGATTCACACAGTGGTACAAGATTCACCCAGTGGTACAAGATTCACCCAGTGGAAGAGACTGTGGCCTCACCATGACTTTCCACCAGAGTTTACAGCCATTAAAAATGGAGTTCATGCAGTGATTTCTCGTTTACCTTGGGAAGCTGAGGAGGTATCTTAAGGTCTGTGTGTTTGGCTGTCACAAAGATATTGCTGCTGTGGTCACATTTCACCTGTTGTGGTTTCTCTAGGCAAATTTTACATTTGCCATTGCTTTTTGAACAGTCAGCTCTTGGTAGCACTGTCGAAACCAATGCAAGACAAATCATCCGCAGCTGGTATTGAAACCCAGCACCCCAGTATTATGAAGCATGTTCGCAACACCTAAGCCATAGACTTTCACGTGTTTCCTGTATATTAACAAAGTTATGTCCTTAAAGGCATTACTTTTGGAGCCACCCTGGCAAATGTTTCAACCTGTATGTTGCCTGTTGCATACTCTGTATTACAGTAGATATACTCTGTATTACAGTAGATATACTCTGAATTTAGTAGATATACTCTGTATTAGAGTAGATATATACTGTATTACAGTAGATATACTCTGTATTACAGTAGATATACTCTGTATTACAGTAGATATACTCTGTATTACAGTAGATATACTCTGTATAACAGTAGATATACTTACATTTCGAAAGCTGTTAGCCACTTCCTGGTCCTTCATGTCCTTGCGGTCAAGTACAGAGGAGACAAACTTCTTGACCGCTGGACACGGCCGGTCGTCCAGGGCATCCTCTTGGAGCAGCTTGAAGCCTCCGGTCTCCTGCTGGTTCATCCTCACCGCCATCTTAGGACACTTTCAACACCTGTCCTACCTGTGGATGGCAGAGACAATGCCCATCAAATACACACCTGTCCCACCTGTGGATGGCAGAGACAATGCCCATCAAATACACACCTGTCCCACCTGTGGATGGCAGAGACAATGCCCATCAAATAGACATCTTACTCAGTAACAATATAAAAATAAAAATATAATAGACACTTTATGCCAGTGGTGTACCGGGCATATGAAACTAGACTCATATATTTCTATATCACTCTATGGGTGATGTGATCAATGTTATCCCAACCACCTTTACTTTCCCAGACATTACCTAGTACCAATTTTAAGACAGGTCGACCTAGGAGAGCAGGCATAGCTACCTGATATTGAACCCTGATTTCAGACATCCCTCACAGCAACACTTTCTCTGGCAGTTTTTGTATCTCAATACTGAGGGTAGTAAAAAGTAAACAATGTGCGTTCGTGCCTCGTGGCGCATTAGGCATATCGTTTGTGTGGATTAAAACCTCTTATGGTTCAACAGACAAGGAGGCGATTACCACCAGGCTCTGTGGAGAGCTTCGAGCAAGGTAGAGCACTTTATACGCCTTGGTCATCCACTATACCTAGGTCCATTTCCAATCGTCTGGACACTGTCCTGCCATTAGATCAAGATGGAAACAGGCGAGAGTGTGTGGACGACTAATTGCGCAACTCTTCCTCCCTTAAATCCAAGTCCTTGCACAAGTCACTTTTATCCAATTATCATCCAATTATCATCCAATTGTTCGTACTCATAATCACTGGACCATTACTACTTTGGATAAAAAGTGGTCTTCATTCGTGATGGACAAACAACGCTGGGCATAGACCAGGGATGAGGATCACCTGGTTCGTGGGCCAGATCTGCCAAGGTATGGTTATTCAACTCAGAGGCAACAATTGGGGATCCCTGTGAGCTAGATGCCCGAGGTCCAGCACAGATAATACAATTTAGATTTAAGGTTTAGGTTTAAACAACAGATCAACATCTTGGCACAAGGACCGTAGTCCTAGGTGTTCCATTCTACTGTTAACTCAAACCTGAGTCCGAAGAATCTCAGTGCATTGCACGGAGCTGCGTAGAACTGGAGAGGATTCTGAGATACTTTGGGTAGATTTTTTGCTCCTAATTTTGCCCGGACAGCGCCGTTAGCCGACTTTTCCCGATTTCCAGCTGCCAAGGGATTTTTATGTGCGCAAAAATACACAAAGCGCCCGATCTTACCACACGGTGACTGGGGGAAATTACTAGAAGTTCACATGAAAACATCACAGCCTTCACCGAGGCCTGAACCCGGAACCTCCAGCAATCAAGGCGGACGCCATACCCCGATACCACCCCCCCCCCCTCTTTCTCTTGAATCCTATAGTGTTGCGTGCACATCCACTTTTACAGATCTGATTTTTTTTTAATGCAGACGGTTGGTTCCTTGCCTCTCAGGCAGATGCACACCGACTTGAAAAGAAGACTTTAATCCCAGCTAGCTTCAGCCTGTCTGTTCCTTCGATTAATCTACATCTACGACATGCTTCTTGGGACGGCAGTCTGAGGTCTATTCTGATTTCTCCCCCCCCCCCCCCCTTCCAAAAAAATAACTCTTAGTGAGCTAACTATAATATTTCTAGGGCCTTCTGCTTGACCTACTTTTATCTATGAAGGAGGTTTGAGGTTTGAACAACGGATCAACAGGCTATATATGTAGCACCGGCGAGAATACTGAAATACTTGGGTAGATATTTGACTCCAACATTTTGCCCAGGCAGGGCCGTTAGGCTGCTCTTTCCGATTTCCAAGGGATTTTTTCCCCCCGATAACGGGCGTCCGATCGCACTACCCAGCAATCAGGGGGAATTACTACAAGTCTCCGAACCCGGAACCTCCAGCACTCGAGGCGGACACCATAACTTAAGACCACGCAGCTCCCCTAAATCTATCAAGGAGGTATGTAGTCGGCAATATGAAAATATTCAGTTTCCGAATATTTGTATAGGCGTCATCGGTACTGTATTTTCTTTTTTAAATTTATTTAATAAATCTGAGATATTTTCTCCTTAGCTGCACAAATTTATATCAGCAGCACCAATTAACATTGCAATCCTGACAGAGCGCTAGCTAGTTCAACCTATCACGTTAGAAGTGATGTCATTAATTTCTCTTACAAAATATAATAAGGTCATTATTGAACTGATAATTTATGTACGTCATGGGACCTGTTCACGCTTTCCGGCCCATCTACACACTTTCTCAGTCTGATCTAGGTCAGAAGGGTGAACTGCTTTCTTCGAAAATAGCCTCTTGTGTGACCTAGGCTGAGGTTGAGGCTAGGGGGTGTTTGGGTTAGGGTCAGTTCTACATGTTCTGGGGTCACTGAAAGCTGTATTGTCCTATAGTATAGAACACGCGACATCGGCGCTGATATAATTGGAAGGAAGACAACGTGACAACCCTCCGACGCAGAAGAGTCCGAGAAAGTATGAATGCAAAGTCAGGAATTATGTAGATGGGCCGGGAAACTAGAACAGGACCGTGCCATGAATATCCAAAATGGTCATTGGCATAAGAAGAAAAAGTTCCCATTTTCCTGTTATTGACCAATCGGCGTTTAGCGTTTGGTATGATCAATTTAAAGCCGATGTGAGATGTCATAGTATCTAGAGATAGAGTCCGGGAAGGTGGTTGAGTAGTGGGGGTGGGGTGTTAAAACAGGAAGAGGGGGTCAATCCAATCATCACAGGCTCGATTTGAATACTGGCTTTTCCTAGATAAACACATATTAACATTGCCAGAGAACAGAACTGCGTCTGTCCAGGGAAGGACCGGAATACTATCAGCTCGACCACCCACACCACACCCTTTTCAACCATGGAGAAGTCAGGCAGGTGGAGGACCTCCGGCCGCGAGCTGGAATTCACCCAGCCCTGGTTGGTATTCCTAACTGGGATTTTTAGATTCCTGATTACTGGCAAGTTTGAAGAGGCGGTAGCATTTCGAGACTGGAGTTGGGGGGTGAAGGAATGGGCAGAGGAAGCACGAAGGAGATTCCGCTTAACGCGGGAGAGGTAGAAGGGGAAGTTCACCTGTTTCTGTAAGTCAGGTGACAGTAATAAAGTGTGTGAACTTCATAGCGCCACTGTTATTTCCGAATCACATCAGCCCTTTCTTCTTCTTCTTTTCCCCCCTCTATTACTGCTTCGTGTGTCGAGAGAGATACGCGATTTTGCTTCCTGCTCTTCTGTGTGCCTCAACCTTAGACACATCGTGCTGTTGCAGAGTTTCTCTTATGTTAACTTTCCATCTTGTTCTTGGTCTACCTCGTACTCCGTCCATCTCCTCCTTTGATACATGCCCTGTGTGCTCTATACAGATGTCAAACTGACCCCTCTAAAATGATTCTTCTTCTTCTTCTTCTTCTTCTTCCTCTTCTTTTTTCTTCTTCTCTCCTCCTCACTTACAGGCTGAAAATTCAAGGGAAACGTTTTGGCTGTTCGTCAACTTTTGGACAGTAGTCTTGTTCCAGAACCTGAGTGTTGTGTGCACATCATTCAAGTCTTGATACAGTGGAAAACTGACAGTATGTGTAGCTCGTAAAATATGTGACAAACACTTGGAGGCGTCTGACGTTGGGGGCACTACGACAGAGTAGGCGGGTTCAGGGTGATGTCTTTCCGAGGACCATTTGATGGGAACTTGCATCATTCGATTTGAACCGTTGAGGACGAGACGCTGGCGAGGGCAGGCTGGGTCAAGTGGGCAGGCTGTTTACAGAGGCCCGCCAATAGCAAGACCGCCTCGACAACTGCCGTCAGGCGGGGGGTATCGATACGTGCTCACGTGAGGGATCACTGCATGCGTGCGCGCGCACACACACGCGCTGATGAGAGAAATGGATCTGTCAATATCTGCCTAGTTTGAGCGGCCGCCCAGCTGCCAAGTAAGTTATAGGGAGAGCGGGTTCCCATCTCTAGCACTGACGTGTTGGCAAAGGTAGTGACACAAATTATCACATCCATTTCCAACCGGGAAAACAGGGTGACCATATCTTCAGCTGAAAACGGGACATCCCACTAATATTTTGAGCTGAAAACGGGACATCTCAAGAGAGGCAGGTTAACTCAGTTGCACGTCTTTCTATCACCAGATTAACATGTTAAATAATCGCCCAACGGTATTAAATAATAAAAAACCGAAGCACTTCGCTAAGACATAAACGAAACAATTCATGCTACAATGAAACGTGTCTCAGGTACCAAAAGTTTCTGTCTAGTGCGGCGGTTCTTAACCTATAGGTAGCGACCCTTTTGGGAATGGAACGATTCCTTTCATAGTGGTCGCCTTAGATAATCGGAAAACACATATTCACTGAAGTTATAAAGTAGCAACGGAAATGATTTTTTTTGGTCGGGTGTCGCCACAACATATGGAAACGTTTTAACGGGTGGCTGGTATTAGGAAGGTTGAGAACCACTGGTCTGGTGCGTGTTCTATTCTCGAGCTTATTTCTAGATGATTATAAAACGGTACAATTAACGTCTGGAGTACCGACGGGACCTAACAACAAGATGTACTGTTGCCCAACAGGAACAGATATTCGAGCACAATGAACTACTAGTCAGCTGAACATTATCGCAAGAAGCTGGGTAGTTGTGTGTTTCGTTTCCTTTATGTCATTCTCTTCCAACATACAATCCATACATCAACACTGGTGTCAAGGCTGTCTTCGATATGTATCGCTACGGACAAGTAATAAGTAAGTCATTTATCTATTTATCTGTCCCAGTGTGGGTTCCGGGCTCCTAGAGTGGATTCCCTAGTGTGGGTTCGAAGCTCTCAGTGTGGGTTCCAGGTTCCTAAGGTGGGTTACAGGCTCCCAGTGTGGGTTCCCGGCTCCCAGTGTGGGTTCCGGGCTCCCAGTGTGGGTTCCGGGCTCCCAGTGTGGGTTCCCGGCTCCCAGTGTGGGTTCCCGGCTCCCAGTGTGGGT